TCACGTTCATCAGCAGTGTAGTTTATCTCGGCGGGCAGGAGCTGACGGGAGTAGAAGGCTATCGGACAATCACCTGAGCGAGACTCGACAGTGCCGTCCTCGGCGATGGTAGGAGAATAGTCAATAGAAGGCTCGTCAGTAGCTGGATGAGTAGGCGTCAGTCGGGAAGCAGTGGTAGGGGTAGGTGGTGGGAAGCGAGGGATACGAGGATGAGAGGAATCAGGAGATGAAGGGAAGACCTGAGAGAGCACTGCTCCTACAGCGAAGTCTGACGCGTCGGTGGTAAGGATAAAAGGGCGGTCAAAATCGGGTAGGTGTAGAACCGGTGCGCATGTCACCGCCTTCTTGAGGGCGCGGAAGGCGTCCTCGTGGAGGGGTGTCCAAGCCCAGGGTGGGTTCTTCCGGAGGAGGGTGGAGACCTAGCGTATCCCCGGATGAAGTTACTATAGTAGCTGGTCAGGCCTAGGAAGCTGCGAAGCTGTCCTGGATGTGGCGATCCAGGCCGGCAGCGCCACCAGAGCCGGACCAGCGTGTAGTGACAACACGCTCGAAGGCGTCAGTCACGTCGTATCGGGCTCCGAAGCGATCCTCGAGGAACGCCTGGAAATCCACGAAGGTCGGAGTCCGACCCTCACGAAGGGAGTAGGCATAGAAATCCTCCCAGGCCTCGAAAGGACCGCCACGCAGGCGCGTTGAAAGGTGACCCACCCACGTCTTGGGTGTGGCGCCCATGAGCTGGAGTGTGCGGGTGGCCGACTGCAGACGCGTATGCCTGTACCGTCATACAAGGCAATGTCCGACAAGCGGATGAGTGGTGCGCCACCGTAGTGGCGGCGAGGGGATCGAGGAGTGGGGGCCTGTGCTACGGCTGAGTAAGTCGGCGCAGGTCCTGGAGAAAGGGGCGCAGTTGATTGTGCGCCCGGGCCGCATGGGGGAGCGGCGGTGGCAACAGCGGCAGACTGCGAGGGTGCTGCGGTAGAAGAGGTCGCAGCAACCGCGGGAGTAGGAAGAAGGTAGGAAGGAGTTGTATAGGGTGCAGGACGCGGAAAGCGAGCCTACATGGGAGGAAGGGTAGAGGAGGTAGAGGGTGCGCCCGAAGGCGCGGCCACCTGTGAGGGTGGGGGTGACTGAAGGCGTAAGAGGGCGAGGTTGGCCCGGAGCTGGGCAATCTCGTCCTCGAGACCTCGAACGCAGGTCGTGCGAGGGGTAGCAGGGGGAAGAGTGGAGGAAGTGGATGCACAAGCGGCACGGGGCATCCCAGAGGGGGGAGAGCCAGGTKGCGCTGCGGTCGTGCGAAGGGGGGGGAGGAGCGGGACACCCGGAAACGCTGAGACCATGGTAACGGGTTGTGATCCCGTGGCCGTCGTAACCGGAATCTGGGCCGGTGCGCCCGTAGACTGAGGAAGGGCCTAACTCGTGGCGGTCGTCGAGCTAGGGGCGTGGACGGTCACCAAAATGGTCGGTTCGGGGGCGGCAGAGGAGGAAACTCCGCCGTGGCCACCCAGTCGGAGAACTGGGGACCCGGACTGAGAGCCAGGAGAAGAGAGAGGATGAGGAGAGGAAGGACGACCAACATCCTGGAGTTGCTGCACGCCGGCAGCAAGGGTCGCCACCTGCGCCTGTAAGGGCTCGAGGGTCGCGAGTTGCGCCTGGATGGGCGCAAGGAGGGAGGTGAGGAGGGTGTGTAGATCCCCTTGGGGTTGATGGCCCTGGTCCGCCGGCATGGGTGTGGAGACCGATGCCGTGGTCATCGCCATGTCGACGGCGTGTGACGCACCGTCGGCCATGAGGAGATGGCGGACCGGACTGGAGGGGGCCAGAACAGGTTCGCGTGAGCGGAGGGCGCACGGGGAAGTCCGCGGTACAAAGCGGCGAACGGCGCTAGCAAGGCTAGCACGGGCGCCGTCAAAGGGGGAGGGGTGGTTCGGGTCCAGGGTGCCCGAAGAGGACGGGGAAGTAGGGGGGTTTTGAGGAACCCTAAACCCTACAAAAAAAACCTAAGAAAACCCTAACCGAGGTTTAAGGCTAGGGTAG